CTCGAGGGCCACATATTCGGGTGGCAGAACCCCAGGTAGATGAACCTAGGGGACATAAGTTTTAAAGGAGAAGAAATCCAAAAGCAAGTAGATCGGGTGCCAAACATTCAAAAGTGGCAGAAGACGAAAACAGGTAGCTCGGGTGCCAAACATTTTAAGAGGCAGAAAATCGAAGTAGGTAGCTCGGGTGAAAGACATTTTAAAAGTGCCAAAAGCCCAAAGCACGTAGCTCATGTGCCAAACATTTTAAAGTGACAGGAGCCCAAGCACAAGAGCTCACGACCAAGATACATAAAACGTAACATCATAGTGTTTTTGCAAGATTAAAAGTACAAAAGCACTCATAAGCACAATACAAATAGGCTAGTGGTCCAAAGTGGTTATTCCATTGAAATAAAAGTTGATATTACAAGAAGTTTGAGCAGGTCCATTACAGTAATGTAGTACATGAAGTCTTAAAGGATTAAGGGTTCTCTCGATTTGGGACTCAACTTTGCTGGTTAAGCCGACATTCTTATTGACAACCTTGAGAGATGGTTCCAACAAAGGGTGGTCCTTAGGAAGCATGGGGTCACCTTTCCACAAGTCTGGGTTCGGCATGCCAAGGACTAAGGCCACGCCATCCTAGCCACCAATGTAATACACTTCCACAGCTTGATCTCTAGTCCTCTTGTGATCATGAAGGATTGGTTGGTCGCGGGAAAGATCAAGTTTAGAAACTCGTTTGAGTCCTTAAAGCACTTCATCAGCTTGAGCAAATAGTGCTCCAATAAATAAGCTCGGGATTGAAGACAAAATGAGGTGCGACCTTTCTCATGAGCTTGCTGCACATTCTCATCCATCATACTTTTTGTCTTGGCGAGCTACGCTTTCAAGCTAGATACCTCAATAGTTAGACTAGCCTTGTCTTCCTTAAGACAAACGAGCTCACATCCATGAAACTCATCAGCCCGTGGCACGAAGTAGCATCCTCCATGTAGTCAATATGCGGCATATAGTAGATGTCTTTTAAAAAGGCTTAGTTCAGGTCAGAGAAGTCAATACAGAGGCGTCACGAACCATTGCTCTTATCACTAGACCTAGATTTGATACCCAGGTCGGTTAGCGGGCTTCTTGGATAAACTGATTCTTGACCAGCTTGATCACTTCTCCTTCTAAAGCTTGTTGTCTGTCTGGATCGGGCTACCTCTTTTTGGATGACCATTTTGATTTTTTTTTGTTTTGTCGATTTGCAATTTGTGAAATGCCACATTTAAGTCAATTTCTATCATGTCCTCATGCACCCATACAAATATGTTGGTGTTATTTATTAGGAGTTGAATCATAGCGGATCAGATCGACTCGGACAAGTTCTTGCTAGTGTAGAGTTGCTTTTGGCAGATTGACTCGTCAACATAAAAAATTTTGACCCTTTCCATAAACTTAGCTTGCTCACTTTCTTTATTGTCTTTGAAATTTTCACACGTGTCGAGCTTATCTTCTTCCTTCATGGGCTATGTGTCTGGCCTTCTAACTCAATCGAGAGTTAAGTCATCTCCCTTTTGCAGATTAACATCCGAGCTGGAACCACCTAATGTTGGCAAGCGTAAGGCTACTTGACCCTCTTCTGTGAGTTCGGTTGTCAGAATATAATGCATCGTTTGCATTGGAAGAGGCTGATCGATTAATCCTAGCTCCTTGCTTTCTTCCTCCATTAGTTCTGAACTCTCAACATTTTCGGATGCATGTATCTCCAATGAGAGAACCGTCATGATGCACTCACGGGCTTCCCTTTGGTGTCCATAGTGGACTCTGAGCCTGTATGCAGTTGCCAATTTTAGAGAGTAATAGAAGATAGACGCGACATCTCAAGCTTCTACAACGTTGTCTTTCCAAGAATGGCGTTGCACCCGTTCTCATGTTTGATAACCTTCAAATTCTCTAATGTTGCCTTTGGGTTAGCCCCTTTTCCCCAAATTAAATAGGCAAGGTTATTTCTCCTTCTGGTATGGTGACCCAAACATCAAATCCTTTGATCTCGTCGTTACACGGTTGGATTTTTTTGGGTCGATCCCCATCTCTTTTAATGTGTCATGTATAGGACACTTGTGTAGGCCCCAATATCCACCAAGAATATGTGCATAAGTATGTGGCATGTCGACAACGTTAGCACCGGTGCGCCTGAGTGTGGGTGATCGAACAACTCGGCGTTCTCATTGGAGAAAGTGAGTGGGTTCGTCCGACCAATGGTGGTTGGTTTGGGACCCAAGCTCTAAATTTTTTGTCCAACATTATATTCTCTCTTAGCGTAAGTTTTCGTCTGTCTATGAAAACGATAGCTCCTCCTCGGCTGGTGTTGACGAGGCGGACCGGTAAGGTCCTCTTAGATTGTGGTCAGTACACTCGAGGTTTCACCCAGGGTGGTCTCATGCGCGCTTTCTTGACCGAGAAGAGCTTGCTTCTTGCTAACCCCAACTAAAGGTCAAAATCTCTGGTGGAGGCTTTCTCAACCTTTTTTGGGTTGACCTTTCTGTCTCCATCTTCCTCATCATGCGGGTCCCTCATCTGCTCTACCTCACTTTCTTCAGAATTTTTCGTGAATCTTCTCACTTGTAGGTCTCCAATGAGTTACAGAAGAGAGGGAATTAGACTATTACATTGGTCGGTGGTGTGCCCGAAGGACTTATGGTACGACAATACCATGATTATCGAGATGGTTCTTACTAGCTCGGATCGGCCTTGGTTCGAGAATTATCCCCTTGTTCCTCAACTCTTCTTACACAATTGTCGCACCCATCTAGTATACGCTCTGATAATTGGTCCTGAACTCCTGTTGGTGCTTTTTTTTAATGCCCAAACTTGGGTAGATCGAGTGTCCTTTGTCGAGTCTCGACCTAACTTCGTTTCTTTTCCTTTTGCACTGGAGTTGTTTGGCAGCTCAAAGGAAAGAATCGACATAGACTCTTTGATGTTGTGCTCAGGATGGGAAATTTTAGTATGTCAGAGGTTTTTTCTAGCACAAGGACCACTTAGACATGGAGTTTGGTTTCAACCCTAAGAAACTCGACACCAAAAACATCTCTTCGTGGCATGGTTCCATGTTTAGCACGCTCTCATTAAATCGAGCAATGTGTCCTTCAGACTCTCCTTGACCCCTTGCATAATGTCGGTAATGGATTATTTGAAAATCATACAAACTTGCGACCCAATGAAGTGAGATCGAAAGGCCGACCTCAACTACTGCCACTTTCGAATGGAGGGGTGAGGGAGCCAATGGTACCATTTTTGTGCCTTGGGTCCCAAGGTGAGTTAAAATATATGGCATCTCTGGGATTCTCCAGCCCTGTGTAGATCCATCCACGAGATGTAATGGCCGAGATGGGTATCGGGATCTGAGATGCATTGTACAACTCGATATACGAAATCTTCACCTTCTCAGAGAGTGGGCTAACAGGATTTTCGGCGCTAACAGTGAGGCCGAATCAACCACAGAGCTTCATACGACCAATGGTTGTGGTGAGGACTTTCTATGGGCTTTATTTTTCCGAGCCTCAAGTTCATATATTTTCTTCTTTAGGGTCGTGACTTCGGCGGTATCGCCTCGTCGATCTGTTCCTCAAAAGCTTTTCTCTTAGCTCGGGTTTGACTTTTTGCTTCACTAATCGTTGAAATACTTAGGGGGACGTGGATGTTGTGTTCCAACTAGACTCCGACTGACTCTCCCCAGTCTCCTCTGTCTTTACCCGTTTAGAAATTATCTTCAGTAGTACTTAGGTGACTTTGAGACCGTGAAGTCCCCTGTGACTGGATATGCTCGCCAGTTCAAATATCATTAATACATATTGAATTTTAGGCTTTCTTAAAATTGTGTAGTTATAAGCATTAAATTAGTTACTACATTGTGTTTGTCATTGAATTTATTAACTAATATGATTTCTATCTTTTGTAAGAAATATTATAAATAGAAGTTCATGAATGGTGACATTGAAAGAAATATCAAATGCAAACGAAAAAAAATGTCGATATTTGAATTTATGTATTTATGAATGTTATAACATATGAGAACACACGGAAAACAATTATCATTTTTCACTTTAAAGGTTACGTTTGTGTCCCATCAATATGTGAGTTTGCGTCCGCCCTTAGTTAAACCGGCTCCACCTCGTTTCGAACGCCTTGATCCACTAACCAGATCAACCTTGTAAAACGGCGGGCCCCAACGTAGACAATCCTACGTCCAAAAGTATAAACCAATCAATAATCCGAGAGTTTGTTTAGAGCGTTATCTAAAAAGCGATCATTTATCCTTTATTTAAACAGCATTTAACTAAATACTCCAAATCAATTTAGATATCTCATAGAATATTTTATAAATCTTTATAAATATTCAAACTAATATGTTTTGTCTTTATACCATAGATTGCGGGTCAGGACTAGCTAATATTATTGATGCTATATCACGGTAGAAGTTTCTGGTTTCTCAGTGACACGGGCAAGACTTTTAGGACAGCGACCGATATGGTATGATTAATAAAAGAAGTGGAGAATCGAAGAAAATATAAATCCAATATTGTAATCAGTCTATCCATTCACGTCGTTTTAGTCCTTGTCCACATCATCACGTAATCCGACACATCTGGATTACTGTACTAAAATTGACGAAATTATAATATAGTGGACTATTTTTAATGAGATGTAACTATGTGTACCAAACTGGACAATGATCAATATAGATGACCAAAATTGAATTTTTGCCCGCCGATATGATATGATTAATAAAAGAAGTGGAGAATCGAGAAAATATAAACCCAATAATTACTAGCTGCATGCGCATGAATAGAGGACAGTTTTAATTCTAACTCTAATATAACGTCTAGCCGCTTTGTTCCCATGCACCATCATATATATCTTTTGGCTTTATATAAGCTTTGCAAATGGTTATTTGATCTTCACAAGTTCCTCTTACAGTTTCAACAGTTTCTGTTTCTAACTTTTTTCTTTTCTTATTGTTCACGTTAAGAATGGCTACTATCATTACTCTCATCACAAAGCAGCAGCTGATGATCATGACTATCGTGTGTTTTTGCGTTCCCTTGGCGGTCAGTGGCCGTCAGCCTTACCCTAGATGCAAGTTTAGTCGGATTTACCAATGCGGAGACTCGATTTCTGACACCGGAAATATGGCCAAAGAAATTCCCTCCATACCCTTTGCAAAGCTACCATATGGTCAAGACTTCCCCGGTGGACCCACGGGTCGTTGTTCAAATGGCTTTCTTATCATCGACTATATAGGTATTTTTAATTTTTTTTTTTCATTTTGCTTTTCAACTTACTTTTGCTTCATGTAATTCTTGTTCGCTAATCGTTTCATTCTCCATTGAGGAGTACTCTTAGTCCGAACGGAACTTTGACGAAAGACCGAGGAAAAATTTCATTTACTTGTGTATGTATATGTATATTGTGTTTATGAAACAGCAAGGGCGGCAGGACATCCGTTGCTGCCACCGTACCAAGATACAACAGCCGATTTTAGCCATGGAGTCAACTTTGCAGTGGCTGGGGCCACCGCTTTGTCACCGCAGGCGTTGGCCAGCAAAAATATTCGTTCCGGGATGACAGGAAACTCTCTTGATGTCCAATTGGAATGGATGTCCTCTCATTTGAACTCCACTTGTTCCAATCGCGCAGGTACGTACTAGTTACTAACGTTTTCTTACTATCTAAATCATCTTTTATCAGCCAATATGATACATATTATACTGAATTTAGTTGGTACAAGATGATGTTTTTTAAATTTTTCCCTCCCAACAAACAGATTGTGCCAACAAACTACGGAATGCGCTCTTTTTGGTAGGAGAAATCGGTGGAAATGATTACAATTACGCAATTTTCAGAAAAAATATGGACGAGATGAGAGGGATGGTGCCCGATGTGGTCGATGCCATTCTAAATGGTGTTAGAGTAAGTAACTGAATCATATATAATCCTAAAAACCAACTCGATGTAATCAAATAACGAAATTATTTGATTTTTACATGATATGATATGCAGAGAGTGATCAGTTTTGGAGCTAAGAGAATAGTGGTCCCCGGGAATTTCCCCATCGGTTGTCTCCCCGTATACAAAGCAGCTTCCAACACCAACAATCAGACAGCATACGACCGAGATGGATGCGTCAAGCACCTGAATAGGTTTGCGGCTTACCACAATCAACAGCTGCAGCAAGGCATCCAGAGACTGATCGATCAAGAACATCCAAACGCCATCATCCTCTACGCAGATTACTACAACGCTTACAAGTACGCACTCCGATACTCCACAGTAAAAGGTAACGCAAAATCAATCTCATTAACAGAAATTGACTTCATTCATTGTTCATTACAATCTAATTTCTTTTGTTATTATTTAAACACACAGGTTATGAGACCGAGAAAGTTTGTTGTGGGGCAGGGTGGATGTGTGGAGTAGGTGCTCCCGTTTGCGCGAATCCTGATACATACTTGAGTTGGGACGGGATCCACATGACCCAAGAGTGTTACAAGTTAATGGCTTCCTGGTTGATTCCCAAACTCTTCGGCAAGCTTAAATGTGATTTCTAGAGCAGATGCATAGTCCAGTACTGTTATAGAGTTGGGGGTTTAGTTTAACCTGTATTTGTGTTCTCTTCAATCTCGTGTTGTCGGCAGAATAAGCTCGGGTTTGTTATCAACTCAGATAGACGAACTGGCAAAATAACTCTGTACGCTGTTACTGTTTCGGAAGGTTTATGTAGTGGCTCGTTAACGGTTTACATACGAAAGCATATTTAGTCTTGAAATAACTACTATTTCAATCTGAAAATGAACAATGAGCAAAAAGGTATGAACCAGTCTGGAAAGTAATCAGGATATTTGAACTGGTGATTTGCAGCCTTACATAACCAAAGATAACATTACCAGTCTTCTTTGGATCACCAAAACAATCAAGATATTCATCCTACAAAAGGTAGAAAAATCAGGTTACTTGATGTTTTAAATGGCGAATAGCGAACCGTGTAACCCGATCTGTTTTATTATCCACTGTATATTGTGATGACAAAATCCGGTTACTGTAACCCGATAGTAACCTGATTAGATTACTGTCACAATCTACAATGGGTAACAGAACATAAATAGAAGACAACAAAGCGCAGTTTAGTGGTAAGACGCTTCACCTATGACCAATAAGTCCTGGGTTCGAGTCCTCAAGGAGAGGAAGTGGGAACACTATAGATCCTCCTTTTAAAATTTCATGACTTGTCCACCATTAAGTGACCGACATTTATGAATATCACTAACCCGAATTTGAAAATCTCAAGCAATATGTTCTTTACATTGCAAAGGAGACTAGGAACCAGATTCAGCTGGGCTAGCACTTACGAACAACAAATAAACACAATAATAACACACACATAATAAAAGAATAGGATAGCACCTCCCCTAAACTTTGCAAGCTAATCGTACTACTACCCTAAACCGGAACACGAGCCAAGCCCCACAGCTACGAATCGCAAGGAGCCAAACCGGTACATCGAGTTTCCAAGATTTCACCAAACATAATAGGTGTGCATGCTACCTGCGAAAGTTCACCCAACCCAAATTTAAGAGCATGTTTGTTTATGAAAAATTTCCAAAAATTTCCATCTTTTTAACTCAACCACTTTTTTTAACTCACCTTTAACTCAACCCCACTATCATCAATATTATCAATATAATTAAATAATATAAATCAATCATTCATACACACTTATCAACCTTAATTACTATTCATCCACTCACAATATTTTAACTAACCATCACATCAAATCATCTCTCTCCTACTTTTACCTTAAATCAATTTTAATTACTTTATTTTAAATATTATTTTAATATATCCACTACCATCTAACCATATCACTTTTTTCAAAATTAACCAAACCAAACCAAAAAATCTAACAAAACCAAAATTTTCCATAAATAAACATACTCTAAATGTTCTACCAAAATCGATGAAATGAAGCACAACCATCCCCTAGTCTATATGGTTCAGATGAGCTGAAGAATCAAAATTAAAATCACAAAGATTTAAAATAAATAAATAAATAAATAAACCAAAAAAAAAATGTACAGAAACTGACTAATCATCAATAAAAATAATTTGTTCATAAAGCTATCAAAATCCTCCTTTCGAATTGACTGATACCGCAATAAATCTAGAATCTGAAAATTTGTCTTGTCAGTACTTTTTTTTTTTTTTTT